ATACGGCAAAGTAATGTCAAAATTACAGACTTTTGATAATATATACATTTCCTGGCATCCAATGAAACATCCAGTGCCCGAAGTGTATTTTCGGATGCACTCCTGTAGCTGATATTATTTAACGGCAGTGTTCACTTTACTGAAGTCCAATTGAGTTGCGACTTTAGGGGCGAATCGTATATTCTGATTTCTCTTGATATTTTACGAATGTTGTGGTATTGGGTATTGATATTATCCATAAGGAAAACTCTGATGGTTCTATTCAATTTACGTTATAGCGTCTATTGCCTATATCGGGGTGCGGATAAAGCCGAAAGGTTAGGCCCAACTCCGGAGAAGGAAATCTCTTCGGTAGAAATCGGCTTCATCCATTTATTCTAGACAGGCTTGTTTAGCCTTGAATTGTGAACTATAGGTATTATTATTATTATTATTATTACTATCGTTATTTGTATTATTATTATTATTATTATTACTATCTTATTGTTATTAATTATTATTATTATTATTATTATTAATATGACTATACGTTATTGTTATTATTATTATATTATTATTATTAACTATCCGCGATTGAATGGAGTCATAGAATAGGCAGGCGCAGGCCGATGTCATAGCGCGGGCCCGCAGCGCGAGGACCAAAGCCCGAAGGCCAGCGCGGGCCTCTCGCCGCCCTCCCTCCATTTGCGTATGAGTGCCGGCAGCCAATATATCGATAGTGGCGCGGTCGATCGGACGGACGGGACGCCAGGAGACGGCTGGCGGGAATGGGGCGCATCTGAATGCGACATGAAACAATTACTGAAGTACTTTTGTTTTTATTGACCTTTCAAATAAGTAAGTTTCTCTGGCGCACCCTGTATAATAGAGAAATATGCCAATAAATAGAAAATGAACAACTCAGTACATTCTTGTTATCGAGCAGTGTCGTTCAATACTTTTTGCAACATCTGATGTCGTTCAATCTTTGTACAAGAAAAATTGTAAATTATAAATATTTCTGGAACTAAGATACGTATACGATAGTTTAAGCTACAACTCACTTGTTTCGATTGTTTCTCACACACATTGCATGGTGGATCTAAACGACTGTCGACCTTTAAAAGTAGTTTTTCGTTCCTCTACTGCGTTAAGTTGATATAACAGTACGTAAAGCAGTTTTCATTAAATTTGCAAAAAAGGATTTTGACACTAAAATGAATCTATATTAAGTAAAAATTAGTATTTCATTACAATGTGTCAACGGATAAATTCTGTCGTGTCTTTTATTGCTAAGCTACACACTTTAAAAGTGTGGAAGAAAATCAACAACGAATGAACCCTTTTCGTAAACACCAAAATAAGTTTCCTTCGTTTTTCAAATCTGGAGTAACTAAACAGGACGCAGTCATACTACAGCAGAAAGTGAAATAACCTTAGACAGTGCTTGCTTTGCAGCCGCAGGATAAACTGGGTATATGCTACCGCAGGAGTGTCCGGAAAGGGCTCGAACATTACTTCAATGGCGCTCCACAAAATGCCGGGAATTTCCATAAAGGGCGTTTGCGGAGAATAAATTCCACTCATATGAGATATTATTGTTCTGGCTTTGTCAGCATGAATATGTGGAATGGAAAATGTCGACCTTAAAATATACTACTATTGTCTGGTAACGTACAAAGGTAATTTTCGAATGCGAAAACATTTTCTGCCGATAAATGATTGATCCTAAAATGAAAATGTTAATTATCCACGGCTAGAAAGGCACAAAAAACAAAAAAATCTTAAAATATTTGAATTTGTAAGACCATATTGTGACGCAAACTCGCTCCACCTTTTTCCTGATCGAGTTTGCATCTTGCCCAAGTATACGTACAGCCTCTAGCCTAATATTCGTAATACCAGCTACACCTTACCGAATACGCGCCAGCTCATCTGACGGCTACTGTACTATCGAAGATAGACAATTGAAATATACATTTTGTTTTGAATCAGGGTAAAGAGAAATCTCTATGAAAGGGGAAGAGAGCTGGGCTACTCCAGTGAGCAACCCATTTGGTGTGGCACGGCCAATTGCGTACGTGCGAGCAAACGGTGGCACCCGCTCGCATTGCTGACAGAGGGGAAAGGAGGGGTGTAGAAATATGTTCTAGAGAAATAGGAATGGCACGTGGGCCATTGCTTACCTGCGGGCAAACGGTGTGGCCCGCTGCTTGATCGAGTCGAGTCACTTACCAAATTTTAACTGCTGCCTACAAAGAACCAAGAGACCTTGAATTATATTAGAAGTTCATGACTTGGTGTTGGTTAACCTGTTATAGATCTCGTTTGTCAACGCATACATCACTTTTACTTGTGGCACAAGCGACGTCTTCATCTAGCTAAGAAACAAACTGTTGACAGCAAGCTAAATAGCAAAGGTCCCTTGACAAAATATATTGAGTTAGCTTTCAATACAAGCACTTATCAATTGATATTTTTCGTACTTTTAACATTAATTGTAATTGAAAATTCTATTAACGAGCTGTTTGAAAGTACTTTCTACTATTTCTGAAAATAATGGGAGGAACATCTTTTCTGTTATCCATCTCGCATCTCACCACTTACAAAATTAAGTTCATTCTGTCACATATCTGCCTTTTGATTTTAATGGAAACTTCGTCAACTATCGCGGCTCTTGCTTCTCCTCATATATCGGGCAGGTTCCCATTATTTCCTAATTATGTTCCATTTGAAGATCCATTATATCAATATAACCTGAAATTCTCGTTACCATTAAAGAAAACCCAAGAACAACGACCCACAAGAATGTGACCATGTTAGCAGAACAAATGACAGAGTGATAACCACGCTACATTTCATGCCAGTGACATTTTTTAATTGCAGGAAAACGTGCATAAAAAAGGGTCTCGAGTAAAATATTGTACATCGCACTGCAAAAGACCCTTTTCATGACTCGACAGAGTTCCCCGCCTCGGTCTGGCGAACTTTGCGAGTGAACGCTCCTATCTCGTCATGAAAGGTCGACTTTGTTGCCTTACGGTGTAAATTTCTATTTATTAAAGCAAAGCCCGCCTGGATGGCCGAGTTGGCTAAGAGCGTGCATCGACACAGCGTTTTGGCCCGAAGCCCTAGAAGACAGATTAAAGCAAGTCCAATTTCTTTGAGTCTTAATACTCCTTATCGTAATACCTCGACTTCGACGCCGCAAGACCGGTGAACGAAAGCCAAGAACAAGTGTTACGAAGGAAGGCATTGTGTTTACGTAGGTTGAATGGCAATTGGAAATCACGCGTTGCACAGCACGAGTAATCACATACGTGGAAGGCCGGAGCCTTGTCATCCGTCTTGGATGAGCATTGCGAGCGGCAAAATTTAAATTGCGAAGCGGCAAAGTTAAAATTGTCAGGCAAAGAAATACTTGGGCACAAAATGCATAGGACAGATTCGAAGATGTTCTATATTAGCATATTAGGCCGAAGGCTTGTCATTCAACGTAGCATGTAGCAAAGCGCCACTATCCCTTTAAAGCGTGCGACTAGAAATACATTCCGACCGCGGAAGTGTTGGCACTCGTCATGATTTCCTGAAATTGTGTCATTCTTTTATAATATATTCATTTGTAAATAAATAAATAATAGCCTATCTTTTAAACATCATAGAATTTGGCGACCACACACAAAAAATTAAACATTGCTATTACAAAACGAAAACAACTAATTTTATAATATTTACCCTTCAGAGATTGGCTACATTTCCTTTTAGACATTGCATTAAAAGTACTCGTTCATAAATGAACAATTATTCGTTCTACACCGTATTAAATTGCTTTCTTTTAATTGATAAAGAAATAATTTACTACTGTACAATAACACTCTAAACTCTTCGAAGAATAATAAAACTATATTACAGTATTTGCAAAGTCTGATACTGTGTAGAATAGTTGAAGAGATCGTAATGCAAACTTTGTTAAAATTGATCCGGGATATTGTCTACAATATTCTGTAAAACAATTTACCTTGCACCGATGTTCGGATGGTGAGGAGAAGGAAAGATGTCCAGAAGCAGATAACCTCCAACCAGGCAGCGCGCCGTCCTTGATTGGCGTCACGCGTCGAGACGCTTCAGCAGCAGTTCGCAATTTTGACAACCGGCTCGTTTGCGCTAGAGAGAGAGAGAACGGTGTTCGATGACAACTTCAACTTTTCATCAACACAATCCTATTGTCGCTGCACTTCATACATGAGCCTTTATTTTTTTAAATACTTCATTAAATTTTTATGTTCCCCATGTAGCCGGATATTTGCAACAAGACATAGTAATGTACGTGATGATACTTATTAAATTTCTATTTGTTACATATGCATGTTACAGTTACCGTCATTAGATCGCCATTGGCGTCAGGCAATTGTACGACCGACCCTTACAATAGGTGAACTTTCACATTTGAGTTATGTCTCGTCGACTGTTCGGCATGCACAAACTATGTCACTAGCATGCGATTATTAACACAGATGCCTACTGTTCATCGGTGGCTAAAATTATTAGCAAATAACTCGCAAGCAACGTCCGGCATCCCAGTATGTGCTCTCCGTCATTAGCTCACACTCACCTGCGCTACTAGCAACACTACACGTCTACTTTCCACAAAAATACAGGTTATTTGCTTCTGTTCACTACAGCAACTACGGTTCAACTAAGAAGAGCGCTTGCCCTGCCAACTCAAACTTCGCCATCTGTTGGCCAGCGTTCGAATCACTCCGAGGTCGACAGCCGAAGCGCGATTTTGACCGTTGATGGACCGGCAGCGTTACAATATTGTATTCACTTTCACAATAAATTGTGCATGATTACTCGATGGTGCATTTTTATGCATATAAGTCTAAGTATTATTTATGAGGTAGACCACCATTTTGGCACCGAATCTGTTAACATCGTAAGAAGAAATACTCTCATAAAAATGAATATGTGAACTATAGAGCAATATTTTTAGGTATGCAAAACGTTGACCTACAGTAAAGAGATCCTATTTGTGTTGAACTCTATTTTCGATTGAATGATTATTTCGTGTTCCCGGGCGCATCAACTGCTATGGTCATTAGCCCCGTTGGTATCCCGTACACTTTGTCCGATATCTTAACCTTTTTCTGTTGATAATCGCAAAAACACTCAAATTTTGATTTAAGGAATGGGAAAGAGGGTAGCGGGTAGTTTTTTTGAAAAATCATGTGTCCTACCTTCATCTTTAAGGTAAAGTTAACCAAGATGGAATTATCGGTTGAAAGGTTTTTGCAGAATAGTCCGACATATTATTTTCAAGTTGATATACATGCCGTATACTGATATTAGACTTTCAGCATTTTGCGTCGTTATTGGTAATTACAAAATTTCAGTGGGTCGGTAATTAAAAAAATGCTTTCTTGTGATATTTTAGAACTAAAACTTATTCTTGGTTGCTTCCTCAAATAACGAAATGTCTGTTTGCTGAGAAAAGCAATATACACAAATCACGCGATAGGTGGGAGAGTGTTGGGTCTGGGTTTCTTTGCCTATGTGTTTGCCAAGGTTGCCAACGATAGCCACGCAGCAGCGTCTGCCCTTCATTTATCACCAGCTTTATTTCCCCAAGAGAATTGTAAGCGTTTTCTTCAGTTCTGTTTTGATTACGTAACCGTTTGGAAGGTTTCTACAGGTGGCATTTACGCAACATTATTTTTGATAGGTCTCCTTTTCCCAATTTTTCTCAGTATTCCGTTTTTCTCGCTTCGAGACAGTCTCATGAATGAAGGCTGTATTCATTATTACGTAAGATGTTTTTTCGAAATTACTTTGCTCTGCAGAGTACACATCGAATTTTAGAAAGTCTGTGCATTACCTTTGTATCGACAGATTCAAGATAAATTAAAATATCGCACTCTTAATCTTGCCTAGCATGTCGTCTTCAACAAAACAAACCAATATTTGATCCCATTGAATTTAAAAACTTCAATTGTTTTTAGTTCAATTTCTCAATGTAAATGTAGCAATTCAATCAGCACACCTATACATACAATTACACACCTAATTATTATTATTATTATTATTATACTGTAATTGTACGTCTACGCGTGTTTTCTACACGTAATCTAGTACTCATGAACTACTTAGTATTTCGCGCAAAATAACCCCAAAAAATGTTATAATACTCATATACAATAATAGTAGTAGTTCCTTAGAAATGTAACATTTAAAATTTTATTTTCAGTTCAGTAATTCAAACAAAATATACCACTCCTCGTGAAGAAATTACAACCACCGTCACCCCAGTTACAATAGTAAAATGTTTTTACTTATACGAGCGGTATTCGACGTTAGGAACACTAGTTTGAAAATTTTCTCTTTTATTGTAAATGCAGTCCTAATTTGGCCATTTTGAACTATTTTCTTTATGTTTGACAGTATCTAGACTTCAAACAATTTAATTTTTGTGAGTCGGTAATGGTATATTCTCTGAAAATTTATTCTGTCTAAAAAATAAAATGATTGATCGGTGGAATGAAATTATTAAATAAATAATGGACACGTAACCTCTCTCACGCTTCATTTATATTTTTGGAGCAAAAAAATATTAACTTGAAATTTAGTTTTCTTGTATTCATAATGGCAATACCTCTTTGCATGTGATCCGATTAAAATGTGGTGCTTATTATTTTGAATAAATGGAGAATATTTACAATTAAGAATTAAATTTATCGGGAACATAGCCCCCGCGGATTCAGACTTGCAACGCAAAAACCGATGATTATCTTCGTCTGTTACATAGATTACCTTTGTTTTGGCAGCGCACGTTGTCTTCGCGTTGTTTAAGTGCGTACGTTGACAGTAATATTACACGCGTAGACCCTTATCACCGATTGGTCGATTTAGGCTGCCCAGGGACGACGACGTAGTTAATGAATAGAATTTTTTATCCTATTGGCGTTGCTAGCTGAATTACTTACCTACGCTCTAAAAAGCCAAGGAGGTTAAACAATTTAAGACATCGCGGGTAGGCACCTCGGGGATCTAACGGCGCCGAGCTTATGGTCGGAGGGATAAAGATAATGACTAACTACGACTGGCGATGACTGATTAGATTAACTTCACCAAACGTTTGACGCCAGATGTAGCTATAATAGAACGTTGTTTCGAAATACCGTGCCAAAACTAGTGGCTAAAACAGCATGCGCTTTCTCGCCCGTACTTTCGCGCAAAAATTACGCGAAAAGTAATCAAATGTTGGAAAACTTGTATACGGCCTTATTTCAAAATGCATCTTTAAGTAACAGATATTATTAATAGGAAAAACCTTTATCTTTAATATTTATGTTAAGGGAAGAGGTAGAAAAAAGTTTGAATTTTTGACATTTTCGAAAAATACGTGTTTTTAACGAACATGTGTCCGGCACCTTAAATGTTTTTCTCTTAAATGTATTTCACGCTACCCAACAAAAAAATTATGAAAATCGTTGTAGTCTTTTATCTGAAAATTTGGAAAATGTTCCAGAACTGCATGAAAATTACCCCCAAAAGAAAAATGTTGGTTTCAAATTTAAGGGGGTGCGACAGCAGCCAGATCGATTGGAAATATCAATTTTGGAGAATATCAACTGAATGGTTTAGCAGCTAGCGTTGTTCACAGATGGACGGACAGACAAAAAACGGTCGGACAGACGGACGGACAGACGAACGGACCAACAGACGTTTTGCCGTTAATCGGTTTTTCGGTGTCAAGGATCCACAAAACATGGATCCTGTCTACATCACGTGTTAGAGGATTTGTTTCTACATTTAGCAACTGAATTCATTAACTTTTTCGTTACCAAGGCCCTGTAATAAGAATTGTTCTGCCAAAAATATGCCAATTTTTCGTGCAGCATTACATTACTTTCTCTCTACTGCCTAAGCGATAGCGATAAAGTAAAAAATGAGTGAAGGGGACGACAGTGTTATCGCGTCTGATGTTCGGAAGCAGGAGGCTTCGTGGCTACAGGGGCGAGAAGAACGCGGACGCATCAAATATGATAGAAATACTAGTCAAATGCTTACGATTACGTGGCACAACAGGAAGAGCTTTAGAAATGTTACAACGGGAAAGTATTACATATTCACTAGCCTATGTGAAAAATCGAAAATCCCAAAAAACTTTATTTCATGTCGTGCAATTCTAAATACTCCAAGACCAATAGACTGAGATAAGTTTAAAAATTCTGGAACAAAACACTTCACTGTTAACAATACATATGAAAGCAACAATAAATGGAGGATGCGAAAAAAGTGGATGGTGCAGCAATCTCGTCCAGAATTCGACCTAGCTATCTACTCAGGGTCGAAAATACTGCCACCGTCGGGACTCGAACCCTCGAAACTCTCTGTATGAGGCACTGCAGTAACATTAATTGATGCCCGGAGCTCCATCAGCCGGTGGCTAACAGGGCTCTTGCAAGACATAATGAAAATAAATTACTTTAATTTTAACTACATGAATCCTTGCAATTACATCATACTAACGAATTTATTTAGAAAATTTACAGTAGCATGAACTACTCAGAAAATTCAAAATTAAAAACCATGTTTCATGTCGTTCAGTAATTACTGTCCAATACTATTCAAATCAGGGAGGTTTACATATTCTGAAACAAAACAATAACTATTCATTACGAACACAGAGCTAAACATGTTTCTGAAAATATAATTGAAATCTTGATATTTACCAAGATCTGTAAATATAGTCATAGAACATGTATCGTAAAGAAGACAATTGTTGAATATCGCGTTTATTGACTCTCACTTATCTTTACATTTAAAAAATAGTCAAGTTTCGCATTAAAAAACTATCTAACTTTGCTTAGCCTGATGAACTGTAACCAGATGCTGCAAGGATATCCCTGCATCTATTGCAACTCCCAAAGCAAATGCAGGCATTTTAGGTGGCCTTCGACAAAAGACAGAAGCGTTCATTGTGTTAATTTTAAACCATTTTTAAAATTTAGCGTTTGTAGTCTAAAGCAGGTAAATAAGAGATACATCTGAGACTTTCTACCTTGCATTCGAAGAAAAAATAACGAAATTTGGTTGAATAGAAATCTCACATATCTTTCTAAACCAAAAATGTGTTTTAAATATATAGATAAATATTAAAATTATAGTGTGCAATATAAAAGCAAGGCAAATCAAAACATTAAAACTCAACGAAATATCGAAACATTCTTATATGTACACACTGTATTTCATTTTATTAATTAATGTTTTTCGTTCAAATTGTATGACACAAGCCCAAGAATTTAAAAACGAGATTTTATTAACACAAACATATCTTTATAATTTGTTACAAATATATAATTAAAACATTTATACAATCTTTGAATAATATAGGATTCTTTTAGATTTGTGTGTTGGAACAATTTTATACAACAGGCGTAACTACGAGAACTGTTCGCAAATGAAATTCATTTTATGATTTTCACAAGTAATATCGACCAGCCCCACTGTTTTAGAAATTGCTCCACAGTCTTCCGGGTCGCCTGTTGGGTCACGCTGCTCCCAGCGGGTATACCCTGACTGGGACAACAGATCTCCTGAAAATGAAATCAATGTCAATTTCAGACAAGTGATACCTGCAACTAAAATAGAAACGCAATCAAAAGGCTTTCGCAATGCACAAAATTTGAAGAATAGGTACGCTATTCAAGGTAAAAATAGCTGTATTCTTACCATTTTTTATTTCTACTTTTCGTTCCGATACCACAATTTAGAGAAAAAGTATTAGAATCACCTCATCAATTCGGTCTCGAATTTTGCGGTCATAAACAGTGCCAAAGGTTCTCTTGTGCTGCTACGCAGCACACTCGTGAGGTTTAAGGTCAATTAGTGTTGTTTCAAAAACAGCTAAAATTAGTGCAAGTAGCGTAGAGATAAACGCAATTTTGTACCTCAAATTGTTTCTTTTAATTTTATTGCTCGAACACAAGAAAATGTATTTATAAATATGGTATATTTCGGATTTACATTAAAATCTGCGATATTCTGAAAATTTCAAAAGATCCAATTCATTTTTGAACCAAATTAAGGTCAAATATTTCTTCTTAAATGCAATATATACTATGATTTCAAATCTTTGAATAATTTCTTGCAAATAAAAAAGAAATAATTGACACACCAAAAGGAGGAAGCGTTTTGAAATGAAGCGCACTTCCAACAGTTTTGAATTCATGTATCCATTGTGTTGGGCATTAACTTTTTATCTTTATTTGTATGAAATATTCACTAATAAATAAGTGTTCTGAGAATGACTTGAATTTTCAGAACAATACTAGAGTACAACTGAGCTCTCGTGATTTTACGTACGTAAATTAGACTTACTACTGTGAAAACATGCCTACTATGTTTTTAGCCATTTTTATATTTATATTTTTAATGTAAATGTTATTCAACTTTATCTGTTATCAATATCAAATATCTCTTAATTAAGCTGTACACTGATTGCATTTTCCGCCAATGAAACAATGTCATTGATAACGATTAGAATCTTTCAATCTTGATGGAGTTACATCTCTATTAATCAATAAACAATGTCTATAAAATTACTGCCTATTCTTTTTCAAAACATATGGTATAAAATTAACCATGAATTTATAAAAATAATCATGAGTAACCCATAGTCATGAAACAAACATTATGAAAGCATTTTCTGTATTGATGATGTTCATAATACAATCACGACAAACACACCACAACATTTTTGTGTCAGCAGGCGGAACAATCGTATTAAACGTTCTACAGTACTCACCGAGAACAGTTAAGTAATGTCCTTCCCGGTCCTTATCGTGAAAGCCGATGTGCAGCCACTCAGAAAGACCCTTGTATTCCTTCACGAGCTGCAGAATTGCGTCGGCCTCCTTTTGGGAGTTGAGGACGAGCAAAAACGCGCCCTCGGCTTCGCACGCTCTCTTCGCAGCCTCCCAGGTCAGAAGCTCCGTGTGGAGTTTGTAGAAGTGACCGCCAGCCAGTTGCTGATAGTCGGGACCGGGAGGTAATGGAGGACCTAGCATACAATTTCTTGTTTTCATGTTGTAAGAACGTTATTCATAACATGTACTTATCAATATATGCACATTTCCTGTCGAACTTAAGCGCTGAAGTAAAGTGTATATGTGCCTGGAAGTTTTGAAGTCTCTATAAAAGAAAACGTTTAGGGAATTACAATGAGCGGGTAAATGATAGTTGCCAGCTATTCTCATCATATAAAGAGTGACATAGGTTGGTAAACTCATGTTCTCAACGACATTAAGAGCTAGAGGAAATCATACTCTATTCTAAAGTTTCAAACTTTAGGTTCAATTCTTAATCATTAGTGTAATTTTCCATTACAAGGAAAATCAGCGTTCTTAATACGTCAGAAATACACTACATATTATTTAACAAAATATTGTTGCAATCTGCATAAACTATGGTATTGCGTGTTCTCGATTCACAAACATACAAACTTTGAACATGTCTCAAGTTAATTATTCAATTCCAGGGAGTGTAATTCTCATTAGCACACTGATGCAAAGTTTGTATGGTGTCACGTGCACTCAATTTGCCGGAAGACACACAAACCGTAAGTGTGTATATTTCCAGCGGGATGGTTGCATTCAAAAGCGTAAATTCAATACAACATACCAGAATGATGGATTGTGTAAATTTTTGGGCTCTCAGTATACTGGTCAAAGTGTAAAACGATGTAGATGGACACGTACTTAGAATAATTCAAGACTAAAAAAGCATTAGGCATTTATACATTCAGATGCAATAGCGCAAGTCGCGTGATCGAATTTTGTCAAGTAAAATGTAAACCTCGTATAAGAAAGTCTCTAGCTGAATGATTCCATTACGAAGCACATTATGTGAATTCCATCCCAGAGAAAAAATGTGCGGGAAGGCATGTGCAGTGTGCATACATATTTCATGTTGGGTACAAGTACGGGGTAGTCATGAATACAGTTAAATGGTTCAAGTCTAAAGCGCTTTATTTCTAAGAGCTATCCCTGGAGTAGTACTGTGCATGATCTCACATTGCAGAACAAGGTGCATGAGGTGAAAGCATGTAATTTTGAATTGAAAAAATAAAGTAAGGAGCGCATGCAGGCGTGTGCAAGCTGCGTGACACGAAGTGCTTGGAAACGTCTCTTGTTGAAAGTCTTCAATAAAAAGCGGGTAACTAGCAAATGCAACCCCGTAGAAAGGCACGAGTTGGTACGTATGTTCTAACAGTGCAAGGTGAGGAACAGACGTGGATAAGTGCGTCTCTTATTGGATGTACTCAATTGACAGCGAGTACACAACAATTGCAATCCTGTGGAAAGGCGTTAAGCGAGCATATGCTCTAACTGTGCATGATGACGTACAAGTAGTGAATGGGAACTTCTCCAGTAGAAGTATTCAGTGCAAAGCGCATTGCTGCATGTATTGAGCGCACGCGTGTCATGACCCTAAGCGGAGGGTTGTAATTCCGAATTGCATTGCTGGGGGAAAAATCGCGTACTGTTATGTGCTCACACTGTGCTCGGGGAGGAACTAGTTGTGAGTGGGCGTGTCTCTAGCTGGGTGGTTGTACTTTGCAATTGAAACTGTGAGAGTGGGAGCGTGCGTGGGCGAGTGCTCTCACTGTGCAGGGTGATGGACGAGTTGTGAGTGGGCGTGCCTCTGGCAGGATGGTTGTAATTCGCAATTGCAACGCTGAGGGAATTATCACGCCCTGTCATGTCGTTCTAACTGTGCAGGGCGGGGTACGACGTTGGAGTGGGCGCGTCTCTAGCTGGATGGTTGTAATTCGCATTGAAACGCTGAGGGGAATTATCAATGCCCTGTCATGTGTTCTAACTGTGGCAGGTGGGGGAGGGACGTAGTTGCGAGTGGGCCATGTCCCTCTAGCGGATGGTTGTACTTCGTGAGGGTAGGAGCGCGCCGTGGACGAAGAGCTCTCACTGTGCAACAGGGTGAGCTGGCAGGGCGTCGGTGAGCGTGGAGCCGCAGCGCCAGCTCGAGGGCTCCAGCTCAGCTGCAAGCCGCTTGCCTGCCCGGCTGCCCCACGGCGCTGTCCTTCTCCAGGCGCAGGGTCGCCGTCCAGTGGCCCGTCGCGTTGTGCTCGCCGCTCAGCCACAGGCGCGTCGCGCCCGCGCCCACGCCGCCCGCCACTGCCCCGCTCTCTCCGCCGCACTGCTGTGCCTCCGCCACGGCAGACGCCAGCAGAAGGGCGCTCACGCAGGCCAGCCACCTGTGGAGTAGAGTCTTATTGTTCCTGTGTCACTCAGCTTCATTATTGCGTCGCCCCGGAGAAGTATCTGTGGATATGTGGCGCAGGGCCCTTTCAGATATAGCTTTTCAACAGAAAACTTTGCAATGGCCCAGCGAAGCAATGGCCCTGACCTCTTAGAATGGTCCCCCCTCTCTTAAATAGCCATGCAATGGAGAGTTTGGCTTTGGCTGAAGAGAGCTATCAGCGGGCATGAGAATTCATACCCCTCAGAATGGCCTCTCTCGCACGTAAAGATGAAAAAGATTGCGATACGTGGAGCAAGCTAGTTTTGGACATGGAGCAGTGCCCCTAGAGTAGTACCTTTCTTGTATACATCCTACGACCGAAAGAATTAACGAGGCACATACGGAGAGTGAAGACTCTTCAAACTGAAGTCCTAATTGTATCTCCAACTTTATTGTCTCTACTTCAAATGATCAGGACGAAACTTGCTCAATTTTTGGCCTGAAACTTTCCCTGGAGCAAAAGCTCTGTTCTGATCGAGCTTTTTCACCGTGTGATAAGCTAAATGTATTGTTAAATATATTATTGACAACTTAAATGGCACTGTGAAGAGAAAAAATTATCACATTCACAACTATAACGTCACATTGAAAGGAGAAAAATTAATTATTCTATGTACACGAGTACATACAAGTATTTATTTTAATTTAAAATGCCAGGAAACAATGAATTAATTATTGCCACTTATTTATATTCGGCGTATATTAAAGAACATTATATTTAAATGGTCCGTAATGAAATAAATTGGTCGCCTCTCCATCTCAAAAAAAAAACATATTTCCTTTATAATTTGCCCTATGTTTTGTCTGTTCCAAAGTCTTTTAAAAAAATAGTAAGTGACTCACAAATAGTGGGCATTTTTGTTTCAAGTCGCTCGCAATTTCTCCCGTTTGTACATATTTATGGTATTATTCAGCGGAAAGCTTTTCGTTACTTTTTACATTAAAATGCATACAGTAACCTCTTGCCTACTAATCGAAGTGATATTATTTTCTCTACCTAATATAGTTTTATTCGGGTAATATTTGCAACCAAAAATGTTAGTCGCAAATGAACAAACTTTGATTTTCATCAAGTAATTTTTCCAAGAAAGAATACACTCACAACGTTTTGGGTTTCTATTGCAGTGAAGTTACTTTTCTTAATATATGAATGATAAGTAGCCTACCAAAGGTTGAAGTTGAGTAAATCCAATGCAGTTTACTTTGAAAAGCTTCAACACTTCAGCGTCAAGTAATTCACATAACAGTTATGTTTACATTCAAGAAAAATGACGTGCGGTTTAAACCAAAACTGTCCATTATTTTTTAAATCACGTAAAATATTTTTAAACGGATTTGAACATACAAAAACCTCAGGAAATATATAAAGATGGTATACTTTTTTTCTGAGATGATCGAGCGAACAGTGCTAGACCCCTTCCAATGAACCTGAAAAGGCATACATATTTTTTACAAGAGTCGGGAAAATTTGATTTGGATATCAAACTAATCTATTAATTTTGAAAATAATTGAAAAATTTTTACTGAAATAGGCAATATCCCTGAAAGAAAAAAATCAACTTTCTTTCAATTCCATTCATTAGTATAACAAATTTGTTCCTAAATATAACATTAGACATGCACAGAAACTGAAAGAAACAAAAATATTTTTATAAGATGTACATTAACAGGTTAAAACATAATAAAATAAATATTGCAGATCCTAGTGGTGATCCGCTGATAAGAACACTTTTTTATGTTTCTCACAAAATGTGTTTAAATGATAGTGCTTATCCTCCTTACCTCATAATGATGATGCAAAGTGAAGAATTCAAGATATTTGTGATGCAACTCTTTCAACTTATATACTTTTACATATCAGAGTTTGCGTTCAAAATAACTGTGGACGATAATAATGATGCCACATGTCAGCGTCTGTTGTGACTTTGCTCTTGACATACTGACCTCTTCGATAACAGAGTTGTCCCTCCAACCCAGCCAAGATATATGTGTTTGTTTGTTTGTTGGTAACTTCGTATTTTGGATTGTATCAGATGAAGTCCAAAACGAGCCTATTAATACTTGGTAAATAACAGACTTCCTCACAGTGTACTAGTGTAAAGACACGATAGGTATATTCAGAGCAATAAACGAAATTCATCTCTCTCAACTCTTAATCAAAAAGCCTAAATTCGTGGAAATTAGAGACGTTCATTGCCAAATTTCTTGCGTAATATTATAAAAACCAGTTTCATAATTTATTATTTTTATTTAATAGGTAATTATTACATATATAATTGCATAATTTGATACTATATGGGTAGACCGAAGGCTTTTATCTCAATGTCTTCTAACCATCTTAATGCCTTTTAGCCTTATGACTTCTGTTGTACGTAACTTCTTGTCTATCCAGGAGACGCCGCGTCGTTGGCTGAGGCCGTCGTTTCGCCTGACATGTCGCAGGCTTCCTCAGGGCAGTAATAGTGACTCAGCCAACGACGTGGCGTCTCCCGGATAGCCAAGAATTTATGGAATCGAGCCGCGGAAGCTGACGAAAGCTTCTGTTATTCGTCCCAATCGGTCTCTCCAGCGCATTGAAGACGTGAAAAGAAGACCATAAGATACATCTAACGAAAAACAACTGAAGGATAAAAAACCTGCCGTCAGATATACGAGTACATGCTTATCTACTAAACTTCTTCTAAACTATTTTTTTCTTGGTGCGAATATCACGCTTTCTCCTTTCAGTTCTTGGCCTTCTCAGCACCTGAAATCAAACAACGCCAAAGAAGATGGTCTGGACACTCGCCTCTGAAATTACTTCTCGTACACTCACTCTCATTTGCATCCAAATATGCTTGTTTAATTTTTTGATATTTATTTGCTTGTATATTTACTTATTACTTAATGGTGTATTTACTTACAAATTTACTTACGTAATTACTGATTAACTTATTCATTGTGTACTTATTTATTTCCTCTTCAGTCTATAATCGGTTCATACTACTAACTAGTGTTGTTTTCCCACTTTCTAATTACAGTTTCCCTAATAGAACGAATCTTTCCTAGAAATTTTCCTAATTTGTTCATGGTGTGCGACGTATATCGTTACATTTCTAAATTTAAAGTAATAGAAAACATTATCATTCTTCCTCTTCATGTTTCGATAGCACAGCAATTTAAAGGGATGGGAATCCAATCTTCCCTATCACCTCAAATCACACATGTGCCATTGCCATTCGTGTCTTTCAATCTACCCCAACTCTAAATCAAGAATAAAGCCCTCTTGCATCCCTTTTAAGTGTGCGAACATAACATTCGCAACGACATAACGGACTCGTGTAAATTAATGTCACTAGCGAGCGTCTTTCGGCCATTACTGCCGAATATTACTGCCGAACATCACTGCCATGACATCTTAGCTTTTTGTGCCCAAAAGTCTACCTAATCGTTAATTAACCGTTTTATTTACCTGAAACGTTTACTTAAATTAACCGTTTTATCTCACGTGTTCCCCTATCCCCAACGATTTCCACAGGAACGCCTTACAGGCATTTTCTAGTAACAGTTTAACTTTGTACTACCAGTATTACGCTTTCCAGTAATTGCATTCAAAAGCACCTATATACCAGGGTGTCAGATTGTTCATCTGCTACTCTAATCCAAAGCTTAATGAGTTTCATTTTAAAATCTTTTCAAATTCCCACACTAGCGACTTCTCTTAAGCTGTAAATCTAGAAATTTTGAGAATTAATTTGTAACAATCTGTTGTTATGCTTTACAATCGATCCTAACCGTTCTCCAAATTTCCTCCCCACAATTCAAAGCTGGGAGAAATAGCCATTTAATCATTGCATTGTACACCATTAAAGCTCATTCTGGTACTCTGTGCTCTACGCAAACGATATTTCTGAGCCCAATTCTTCATCTAAACCGCCACTACCTTACTGTTCCATCCGCAGTTCATGGAAAATTTTGCACCAAGATTCGTAAAAGTTTAAACACGGTCGAGTTCATCCTGCGAGTAATACTATTCCTCTTTGTTATCCCAAATAAACCCATTCTTGAAGACAACAATTTTCGGTTTTTGAATATTTACTTTTACTCCCCATGTCTCCCCATACATTTCTAGGATGTTTAGGAAGGGGTCTTACACTGACCATTTTTATCGTTTTTCAGAGAGTAGCCAATGAAAAATTAAGATTGCTTTATATTTTTGTTCAACATTTATGGTTGGCTGGCATGTTGTTTGCACGTTAAACTACTTCGGCTGGTTTTAAATAACAACACGCGCGGTGACGCCAATCTTTTCTCGATTTATCTATCAAAAATTATCTATTGTACAGAAAGGTCGTCGTTCGACACCTCACCTTTAAATCTCATCCTAAGTAGGGTTCCTCAGGCCGCCATACTGTTCCCTATTTTCTTTTTCCATGAACACAACATCAGCGACATACTTTCCTCAACTCCTGGGGTCCACGAATTCTTAAGAGGCTTCTATAAGCCACCAAATTAACCCTGCCTTTATTATACCCTACCCTAACAAAACCGATCCCTTACTCAATCTTACCCTTCCTTGACCTCACTACCTGGTTACACAAATATACCAAATTAACTCATCAAAATTCTAAACTACCGTTTCTCCTGGGAAAAAGTCTCGACTCATCCAACCCGACTCCAAATTAACCATCCTCGGAAATCACTTATCTGGGCGCCCTATTCCATTAAACCCTCCTCTGGTCTTGATATCCTCGCAACTGTCATCAAAGTTTAACGATTCCATAGTACTCTTTATCTGTTGCTCGCAAACCAGTACTTTCCCTTCAAAAATTGATCATTTTCTACATCATTATCAGATCCTCAACATATATATTGTCACCTACACCATTGATCTACTTCAACATTCTAAAAATGTCTTACTTCTATACCGCTTCTGCGTGGCTAGAGACCGCTGAGCACAATGACGTAGCTCCGCCTCGAGAAAAGCTCTCAGCAGTAAAGACCTGTATATCAGCTTGACCTCCGCGTCACACGGGACGAATGCGACTGGCTAGCTCGTCGCTAGTGTGTTCGGACCATCCACTCTTCTGCGGTTCAGAAAGTCCCAAGCTGGCCCTGACGACCTCCACTCATCTCCAATCGTTTTGCTCCAAACTGGCCCTTCCGACATCCTTCCAGCCTTCTGTTGGTTTGGAGCGGCCCTAACTAGCCGTGCCGACGCTCCTCAGCCCTGCTAGTCCAGTCGTGACCTCCGGGGCCTTGCTTGTCGCTCCCAACCCTCTCTTCCGACACTCAGAGTATCGCCGACCTGTTCGATGGCCACTGCAAAGACGCCGAGGCTGGGCTGCCGGTGTAAGCAACACCGACCAACAAAATTTCTCTTTGCCATCTCGACCATCTCTGTCCTCGTTGTTCCATCTCATCTGCCCATGCGCCTACAGGACAATACGGAACGTCCCGGAACAATTCTCATGCATTCACAGTACTTCTCCCCCGCTCGTGGTGCCAGGAGCTTCCCCTAGGGAGTAGGACAATCGGGTCAGGTGTGCGTCCGTGACACACCACAAGTAAGGTCAGTATTGGGGGCTGGTGAGAACAGGACAATAACGGGATGCGGTACAAGCGCAACGCGGGGGAAAGGGGATTCTGGTTTCACTCATTAAGGGCGTGTGTGCGTGCGTGTGCGCGCGCGCGCGTGCGTGCGTGTGCGTGTGTGTGTGTGTGTGTGTGTGTGTGTGTGCGCGAGTGGTGAAAAAGTGTAACTGCAACTGTGATTCTCAAGAGCCAGTGTACGTTTGACTGGCAAACTACAAAACCCTTAGTGTTAGTAGGTCAGTTTAAATCGTAAGTGTTAGTACACGCACATATTAAAAATAAGTAGAGTCTTGTGTAAGTTTAGTTTGTAGCGTTAGTATGCAAGTTTAGATTATCAGTACAAAAGTGTGTAAATAATGTACATTAGTAACAAGAAGTTTGCTATCCGGGAAATGATGTGCCCTAAGCAAAATGTTCGATATTTTGCTCTTACTACGACGTTTCGAGGACAAAATGTGCAAATCCTTTTGTGGACTATTTATGTTCTGGGCGGTCTGCACCCTGATTGGCGCTCATCCGCCGGGGTGTAGTGTGGTGGAGTCCCAGAGGCGAATCTGAGCTCTGCCCCGCACGCATGCATACGAGGCCTTGCAAAAATCACTGCATCAGTTTGTCAATTTATTTTGCGTCATGAGACGCGGCGGAGTTGCTTTGTGAGGTGGTATGATTAAATAAAGTTTGAATGCATTGAAAAAAAAAAGTATAAGAGTATGGAAAGTATGGAGAAGGTTTAGAAAAAATAGTTTGCGGCTAATGAGCACAGGCAGAAAGGTTCTCCTCCACCCGGCTGGCGCTTGGTCGGACGATTGACCAATGTGGAGGAGACATCGACCAATAAGACAACGGTTCCCCTGGGTGGAATTGGGTTTGGGTGAAGGCCCGTGGTCGGAAGTTATGCGGGAATCGTGTCCTGACGCGATCGGGCGTCGCGGTATAATAGATGTTTTCAGGACTCGTGAAGATGTAGGCGTACGTGCGTACTCCCGTGTGCCGGCCACCTCCATGCATTTCGCACGCACGATGATAGCAGTATGACGGTCGAAATGTTGGCAACACTGTCTACGACGTGGCAACTTCCAAGTTTCCTCCGGTCACGGAAACCTATACATACTCTATTCGCGAATCTCCAAAAGCACATATTCTCGCAGTGCCAAAATATGCCCTAATAAAATAATACGTCTTTGCACATACATCATTTAAATGATTCAAAGAC